TCCGTGGCTCGGGCAGTGGGAACACGAGGGACGTTGAAAAAGCCGAAGACGTCGAGATATTCGAGCTCATTGGGGGCTGGGTTTCTGACAGCCGCTGGTGATGCGGAGGGTTGGCTGCCGGCTGGAGAGGTGCGGGGTTGGCGGGAGATGAGGAAGTCGAGGTCGAATGCGCAGCGGCGCATGTCTGCTAGGATCTTTACGGTGGATGGAGTGGCTCGTTCCGAGTCGGAGACACCAGATTGTTGGTATTCGCCGTATTCGTCGAGGACGCGCTGCAGGATTGAGCTATATCGCTCTGCTACTTTCCAGTGCTTGCCCATCTGGGCTAGGGTGTCGACGAAGAAGAGTATGTCGGGGCTGACGGTGTGGGCTATTGTTGACCCGTGGACGAGGAGGAGCCGGGCGGATACCCAGAGGGTGAAGGCAAATGGGGGGCCTACTTTGTCGAGCATATTATTGTCGACGACGAAGCGGGTCACGGAGAGGATGTTGTCCACTGCAAGCAGGCATCGCTGGCTTGCGCTGTATGAGGGGGTGAAGATTGGTGATCGCGTTGTGGGGTACGCTGCTGATGAATGGAGCCGGATAACCGCACTGTATGGGTGAATGTCAGGATTGAGTAGCTCTTGATGCGACTGCATGTAATCGAGGTGTCAAGAACTCACGTTTGGTAAGTGGCATGGAGCTGAACCCAGTCGCAATGGATCCCCTTGGTAAACTTGGATCCATTGAACAACCGGGAGGAGTTCTCGTAGGCATATTCGGCTGGAAGGCCGAATTCCCAGGACGTTAGCTCGCTGTCTAATTTGCGGTATGTGGTCTGCCACTCCTCAACATCTGACAAAGCTCCAATATCGACAGGTCGCTTCAAGAAAGCATGGATCCGAGAGAGGATGCCTAATACTTCGACATAGAGTCCAAAACTGCCGACGTTTTCGGCACGAGTCACGTAGTCAGCACGATCACTTGAGCGTTGGAACCATCTTGTCTCCACAGGTTGATTCTTGAGAAAGTATTCGTCTTTACATGGTAGTTTCCGGTCAATGTCCTTATCGTCTAGGGCGAAATCAAAGGCGGTTGCAATGGTAGAATATCGGTCCAGAAAATACACCATCCAGAAGAGCCTCCGCCTGCTCTCATCTTCGATCCAGGATTCGGGCTCCGGGAGTGTTACCGCCCTGAGGGTATAGATGGATGGGTAACTGGGAGCAATGAGTGAAGATTTAGCTTCCACGGCCAATCCGAGCTGCACCACCGATCGTGTAATCAGTGCGAGCAGTTTCCATCCAGGAGGACCGTTGGAGGACCCCACCAAATCCAAGGCCAGGATTACCAAGGCCTGGAGAGCCTTGACTGATGAGTTCTCTAACCCATAGAGCAGAACTTTCTGTTTGGAGGAGTCATGGTATCGTTTGCGGTTTTGTTCGTTGAGCCGAGTGTCGCTGGAGAAACGAAGAGTGGTTGCAACTATAGCGTAGAGCACTGTTCTGTCCGCATCTTCAAGAGGAGACGGACCAAAGAATGTGTCGAGAGTTGTACGACGATGGAGAATGGGACACCAGGTATTGATATGTTCAAAGTAGAGGTCCACCAGCGCATACAGGAGATCGTACGGGGGTAGATCGAGCTCTGGATCTGCAAGTAACTGTTCCTGGTTGGCGTACAGGTTGACCGGAACCTTTAGCGATGATTCATTTCCCATATAATCGTTAGCTTGTGACACATTATTCGTCGACCGTGGTACCGAAACGGGCGCAGACATGGCACTCGCCAGGTGATTTTGTATGGTGTTCTTGACCGATATGTCCGAAGGACTGGTGATGGATGGTTCAGACTGACGAGGTTGGGGCACGATAGATGGTGGATCATGGAAATAGAATGCGTTATTGGGACTGGGGCCCTGAGCCGTCTCTGATGGAGAACTGTATGAGAAGGGTCCTTGGTGGGAGATATCATGGCTCCTAGTCGGCTGGCCCTGAATGATGTGCGTCTCAATGAGGCGAGCCTGTGTCTGAATAACTTCTTCTAACCGATCTGCATGCCTAGTGAGTGAAGACTTCATATGGACCTGCCAGAGACTAGCAACGCACCTAGCCTTTGTTCCAACTCCTTTCCATAACCTGCCCGTAGTCCGGGCTTTTTCCGTTCTTTGTATTCGCATAATTGGCCATTGCGAGAGCACCACCCACAGCTAGGCTGTGCCCGATCTGTGCATGTTAGCTTGTACCCATATGTAGCAAGGATTAAAGATGAGGGGAAGCCACCGCATGGGCAGGGCATACCTACCGCACTTGACTTTCCTTTGCTTACATAGCTCGCATCTTAGGTCGGTTAGTGAGATGTCCGATGAATAGCACCAGCCACAGCTCTCTCGGAATATATATTCCAAGGATTGGATTGTGATAAAGGGGGATCTGTGCTTTCAATGGTTCAACGCAGGATGGGACGGTACGTACGACACTGTGAGGGGTCGTTTGCGTTTCAGCGCACGAGGGACGCTCGACCCGTTCTGCACGATACGATCATTCTCGCTATCGGCAGCGGACCAAGATTCATCCCCGCTGTGATCCCGTTCCAGATCGCCAGCAAGTCGGGATGGTGGTGGAGTCTGTCGAACAGAGACAGCTGCAGCAGCGTTCGGCATGGTACTTTAGCGAGTCCGGGGTTTGTCGGGAGATAGACAGTTCCAGCCACAGCAGTTCGATCAGCAGCAACGAAGCATCCTGGTAGGAGGGGCGGAAATCGGTGCTATTAGACCGAGTTGACTGCTAGCTTCAAGGATTGTGCGAAGCGAGCGAAAGCGACACAGAAGCAAAGGAGAAGAATAGGAAGGAATGAAAGAGACGAAGAGAGCGTTCGGGCTGGCATTGCCTGAGCCAAGAAAAGGCACGCGGACCCCCGCAAATGGACCTCCACATCTATTCTGCCGTTTGTGAAGAACTCTCTGGTCTGGGGAAACACTTTGCCCTGGGAACGACCTGAAATGTGGCGCCCCTTAGGGTCCGTTCACCCGTCCATTGTTTTCCGACCAAGACTATCGCTTCATCCCTGTGATTTCTGTTGGCGGCGCTGGTTGGAGACCCTCTCGGGGTAGCATTGCCCCGAGGCATCACCAGCCGAGGGGAAAGTGTGCCGGATGCCCCTCGACGCGAAGTTGCTCGTATGCTTTCAAATATGCTCCAATTTCCCGGGAAAAAAAAGTTTATCGCTCTCTCTTTTCTTCTTCGTCTTTTGCTTCTTATACTCCAAGTTGTGTGATATTTTCCATACCCTATCTGCTTAACTACTGCCAATATGGGCTCTACCGGCCAATTTCCCCGCATCAAAGAGATCCGCACCTTCATCATTGATGGTGTGGGATCCGGAGGTGATTACCACAATGTATGCTCAGCAGTGCCGGGGTTATCATTAGCAGACCGCTAATCTTCTTCAATTCAACAGGTCAAAGGAGGTCACTGGTTGATTGACAGCAACATCTCCACCCCTATGACTCGCTGGGCACAATACCGCGGCTCTCGCACATCATGGGGTATCAACGTCCTGGGCTCTTTCTGCGTCGAGATCGAAGCTACCGATGGGACCAAGGGATTTGCTACTGGATTCGGCGGTCCTCCGGCTTGCTGGCTGGTTCACCAACATTTTGAGCGCTTCTTGCTCGGTGCAGGTACGGGCCATCAATATAGTCTCCCAAGGATGAGCCAGGCTAATCTGTTTTCTTCTTCTAGACCCCAGAGATACCAATGACCTGTTCGAGAAGATGTACCGGGGATCGATGTTCTATGGCAGAAAAGGTCTCCCTGTTGCCGTCATCTCGGTGATCGACTTGGCTATCTGGGATCTTCTGGGCAAGATTCGCAACGAACCCGTCTACAAGCTCATTGGCGGCGCTACTCGTTCGCGTCTGGACTTTTACTGCACTGGACCTCAGCCTGCTTCAGCCAAGGCCATGGGTTTCTCCGGAGCCAAGGTCGCTCTTCCCCATGGCCCTGACGAGGGTACAGAAGGACTATTGAAGAACGTCGAGTACCTCCGCAAGCAGCGGGAATCAGTCGGTCCCAACTTCCCTCTGCGTGTCGACTGCTACATGTCCCTGAACGTGCCCTACACAATTGAGCTTGTCAAGCGTTGCGAGGCGGAAGGAATCAACATTGACTGGTGGGAGGAATGCTTGACTCCGGATGACTTTGACGGTCATGCGCTTTTGAAGAGAGCCCACCCCACTGTCAAATTCACCACCGGTGAGCACGAGTACTCCCGGTATGGCTTCCGGAAGCTCGTTGAGGGCCGCAACTTGGACATTCTGCAGCCAGACGTCATGTGGGTTGGTGGTATGACGGAGTTGCTCAAGGTCTCCGCCCTTGCCAGTGCCTACGACCTCCCAGTTGTTCCTCACGCATCTGGACCTTACTCCTACCACTTTGTGGTTTCGCAACCCAACTCACCCTTCCAAGAATACCTTGCCAACTCTGCAGATGGACACACTGTTGAGCCCGTCTTCGGAAACCTCTTCCTCAACGAACCCATCCCTACCAAAGGACACCTGGATGTTTCAATCCTGGACAAGCCGGGCTTCGGCCTCGAGCTGAACCCTGCTGCGCCTCTTATCCCAGCAGCCTCCATTCTCACCCCTGCGCCTCAGAAGGCACTGGCTGCCCCAGCTGAGAACCAGCAGGAATCTAACGGCACTGCTTAAGCAGGGTTTTTACGATATCTCTAGATTACGGCTTCTACAAGATGCTCGATGGCATATTTTCAACCTGTGACGAGATTAGCATTTCCTATACATGTATACATGATTTACCTCTGTTTCAATTTTTTCAGAACAATAGATAGGGGCAATGGAACAACCCTCAACAAGACTTGCGAGCAACCCCCCAATGTGGGGTAAATGCCGAATGTGGGGGTGGTATCGGGGTAACAATCCCACGAGAGGCCCGAGACCGACTCCACTTATTTGAACGTAGATTTACTTCTTTGGTTATCTGAATCTCCCCGGCGGGGTTGGCCAGAAATACCAGCACAAGACGAGCACTTGATCCAGACTATAAGCTCGCATTATCCCTCTGTTCAGTTCAATTCCTTTCAAAGAATCCCAATCGTCCATCACCAGAAGCAACCATCATCACAATGCCTCTCCCCCAAATCTTAGTCGGCAAAGTCGCCGCCATCACAGGCGGTTTAACCGGTATTGGCAGGGTAAGGCACAGCAACAAAAATAAGAACTCACCTTAGTTTCCAGGCCAGTTCTAACATTCTCTTCTCTCTAGGCCATCGCCCTCGAATACCTCCGCCACGGCGCAAAAGTAGCCGTAAACCACCTCGGCGGGCCCAAAGAAGCGCCCCTCATCGAAGCAATGCGCAACGACGTATCTGAGATTATCCGATCCGACAGCAACAGCGACAGCGACAGCGAGCAGAGCAGCAGATTTATCCTAGTCGCAGGGGACATAACACAGCCCGAGACGGGGCGGGATTTCGTATCCAAAGCCGTGGAAGCCTTTGGCCGACTCGACGTGTTTGTGAGTAATGCGGGAGTGTGCAAGTTTGAGGAGTTTCTCGAGTACGTCAACCACCCTCCTCCCAATTAACCCTTTTAATATCTACATCCCTAAAGAGCCATTTTTGTTGATCCATGTCATCCTACGGGTATAGAGTCGACCCCCCACTCCTCGGCCACACAATCAACACCAACCTAAGCGGCGCATTCTGGGCAACACAAGCAGCAGCACGACAAATGGCACTGGCTCAATCACCCCCGGGGGGTTCCATTATCGGGATTAGTTCTATCTCTGCGCTTGTTGGGGGTGGGCAGCAGACGCATTATACGCCTACGAAGGCGGGCGTGCTTAGTCTTATGCAGTCGTGTGCGGTTGCGCTGGGCAAGTACGGTATCAGATGTAATGCGCTGCTGCCGGGGACGATCCGGACTCAGTTGAATGATGAGGATATGAGTGATCCGGTGAAGAGGTCGTATATGGAGGGGAGGATTCCGTTGGGGAGGTTGGGTCAGCCGCCGGATTTGGCGGGGCCGGCGGTATTTTTGGCTTGTGAGGAGTTGAGTGGTTATGTGGTGAGTATTCTTTTCCTCTCTGTTTTATGTTTGATGCTTGGGGAGAGTGCGCTAATGTGGATGGATAGACTGGAGCGCAGATACTGGTGGATGGGGGGGCTTTTGTGAATCTTCAGTAGATGATGATATGATCTGATGATGTTATCTTTATTGTGGATTACTTGCTCATGGGGATCGGTATACATACATACATGCATGCATACATGCTTCCAATATATGATTTGAATAAATTCTACTTAAAGTTCAATCCCATATGCCTTGAGGGCAACACCTCCCCATACACCCTCCTTCTGCTCCTGCGACAAGCCCCTCTTCTCCAGTATACCCTGCACCACACTCCTCCACCGTCTCCAGGCGACTGCACTGCCGCCTCCACCCACATTACACACAGGCCAGTCAGACCCAAACATGACCCTCTCTGGCCCGAACGCATCAAAGACCACATCCGTCCACAGCTGAACCTGGTCGACTAGGGAAGCAATATCCGGCTCCGAATCCGCCGTCAGCGGGGGAAGCTCCGAGAATCCACCAGAAAGCTTCATATACGCCGTCGGATGCTGCGCCATGGCTGTGATGAGGGAGCTCCATTCCAGGATATCAGGATGCGTAGCGATCGAGTCGGGCGACGTGTACGGCAGACGCAGGTTCGGCTTGCACAGGTGGTCTGTAGACAGCTCGTTAGCCCAGTAATACCAACCATGGACCCTATCCATATAGAACAGCCAAACGTAATGGAGAATAAACATACTAATAACAATCCTAACCCTATCCTTCTTCTCCCCCACCCCCCGATAAACCGTATTCATCATCTCCGCCGCCTCCCTCAACTGCCACATCCCACCCTGACGAGCATCCACCCCCAGATCAAACGCCAACTGTTGTCGGCCAAGCCACCTCAACCCCTCAATGAACTCAGGCTTTAGCATGACTCCACTCGGCTTATCCTGAACGAGGTAGCGCACTCCGCGGACCTTCTTGGATACTTCCTCCGTGCGAGTCCGCTCCCTCACGAGGGAAAGGTACTTCTCTAGCGCAGCAGGACCCCCGGGCACAGGCGCCCAGGGCACCATACCTAGACAGAGATGGCGATCTACATCTTTGTGTCCTTCCCCTGGGATGGGGTCTCCGGTGATGATCCGGGTGAGGAAGGAGACTTCGTCGAGGGCGTGGGACCAGCCCCGGGTTGGATCTGATTCTTCAATTGAGGAGATGCGGTCGGTTTCGAGGAAGATGAAGCCGCGGAGGTAGTGTGAGTTCGTTGTTGATGGTGATGTTTCGTCCGGGGATGTGGGTGTTGAGGCGGTTGCGAGGCGGTATTCGTCGACTGAGTGCTGGGATCCTAGTGGGCTGGAGGGGGTGTACCAGGCCAGCGTGGGGAGATGGGATGCTGGGAAGAGGTGGATGTGGGAGTCGACTATTGGGGTTGGCATTGTTGTGGATGTAGTACTTTTGTCTTTTCTTTTCTTTGTGTTCGTGTTCGTGTTGATGTGCTTGTGAGGGGTGATCTTCCCGGGAGTGCGGGGTTGAGTGCTGCTTGGGATAATTGAAGAGAGGGAAGATAGTAAGGACTACAGAATTGAAGCAGAGAGTTGTTGATTAGAACACAAGGCGAGCAGAGCAACTATCGAAAGAGGGGAACTAGTGTGCAGCTCTGCTGTACATCATGCAATTCCAGTCAGCAGACGAGGGGACGATGATCGGGGATGCATTAGCCCGAGCGCAGGCAGTCCAGACTCCATCGCGACCAACCAATCTGCTTCCTCCTCTCTACTTCTCTGCCTCACTGGCCAGACCCCTTGGCAAATGGTGAGGACCTTCGGCAGCTCCAGCAGCAGACTTATATACCGAAGGAATAGCTCTGGGCGTGTCCGACCTTCTGCTGGATAGTTTTGTGTTCTGTTCAGTTTTCAGCTCCGCGACTGAACCACAAATTGGGGCGGATCGTCAGTCCTCGCCAATCACACTCCGCAACAAACACGATCTGACTTCAAATGCGGGGTTCTTTCAACTGATGCCTAGGTACTAGATCAGTGGCGGGGGTGATATCCGGGATTCCGTTGAATTGGCTTCTCACTATTACTGGCACTTGGCAGATCATGTTCTCTGGATGCAACAGGAAAAGAGGGGTTCGGTGGATGACGATGTGACTCGCCTTCAGCTTGTGCCTCGGTTACGGCTACATGCGCACTTCATTGCTTCTTTGCATCAACTATCGACACCATAATGTGAAGTGCATGTCTTGGCCCGTCTCAGCGATGATCCATCAGGATGATCCCAGTTCATTTAGCGCGTCGACTGGGTCCCCCAGTGATAAAGAGATGCTGCTCCCTTGATCTGCAGCTTCTGAGTCTCGCTCCTCGCACCCTTTACCGTCCCTCCTTCCTCTCCGTACAACACCGAACATACCAGTATACTACGAAGATGACTATGTCTGTGGGTGAAAGAAATGCCAATGGCAATGGCAGTACAGCTGTGCCGGAGATCCCTGCAAAGCAGAAGGCTGCCATCTATGACCAGCCCGGCACTGTCTCCACCAAAGTCGTAGAGATAGACGTGCCCGAGCCTGGGGTGGGTGAGGTCTTGATCAATCTGTATGTGTGCCTTCTAGCCCAATTGGCTGGACGTGTTAAATCCAATTACCAAGTGCATCCATCGGGCTAATGGCTATTGTAGAACCCATTCAGGAGTCTGTCATTCCGACCTGGGAGTAATGACCAACACCGTAAGTAAACCGACGTACCTTTACCTCAATCACCTCCTAACTCGCCTAGTGGAGATCACTCCCCTACCCCACACAGCCAGGTCAAATTGGCGGCCACGAGGGTGTCGGTAAGATTGTCAAGCTAGGCCCTGGAGCCGAGTCTTCAGGCCTGAAGGTCGGCGACAGGGTAGGAATCAAATGGGTTTCCAGCGTCTGCAAGAGCTGCGGTGCGTACACAATTCCCTCCGCCCAATACACGCAGTCACCGTAAACTGACAGTCAATGACAGAACCATGCCATGCAGGCGCCGACGGCATCTGCTTCAACCAAAGGGTATCCGGATACTACACGCCCGGCACATTCCAGCAATACGCCCTAGGCCCCGCCAACTACGTGACACCGATCCCCGACGGCCTCGCATCCGACGAAGCCGCGCCGATGCTCTGCGCCGGCGTGACCGTCTACGCAGCCCTGAAGCGCAGCAACGCCCGACCAGGCCAATGGGTGGTGATCTCCGGCGCCGGCGGCGGCCTCGGCCATATAGCCGTGCAACTAGCCAGCAAAGGCATGGGACTGCGCGTGATCGGAATCGACCACGGCAGCAAAGAAGAACTCGTGAAGGCCTCCGGAGCTGAACACTTCGTCGACATCACCAAGTTCCCCTCGGACGACAAGGGCCAAGCCATCGCCGCGCACGTCAAATCCCTCGCCGGGGGTCTAGGCGCCCACGCCGTCATCGTCTGCACCGCAGCCAACGCAGCCTATGCCCAGGCCGTACCATTCCTGCGCTTCAACGGTACCCTCGTGTGCGTGGGAATCCCCGAGAACGCCCCGCAACCGATTGCGACCGCGTTTCCTGGCCAGATGATCGCAAAGCATTATACGATTACCGGATCGGCGGTGGGGACGCAGCGAGATGCGATCGAGACGCTGGATTTCGCGGCGCGAGGGATCATCAAGGCCCATTTCCGGACGGAGAAGATGGATGCTTTGACGGGCGTGTTCGAGGAGATGAGTCAGGGGAAGTTGCAGGGTAGGGTTGTTCTTGATTTGTCTTAACGTGACGTCTGTGGCTGCTTTGTGTGTTCGTCTATTTTAGGAGTTAGCTGGAGGTCAATGGAAGTTCAATCAAATATATTTATAAACAAACATGATGAATGATGATGCACATAAAGAACTTGAATATCACCGCAGTAACATCATAAACGATGGTCCCATGAACAGACGGACACAAAGATAGGGGATAAAGAACCTCAAAGACACACATGCAAATAAATGAAACAACAACAACAAACCCGATGAAGAATCCATAAACCAGTCCCCGTCCCCAAAAGAGAACGAACACAAAGAAAGTAAGAAGTAAAAGGAAAAAAAAAAAAAGAAAATCAAAAAGAATGACCGACGCAGGACTCGAACCTGCAATCTCTTGATCCGTAGTCAAGCGCCTTACCATTGGGCCAGCCGGCCAATTGATGAATTAACCGGGGGATCTTTGCCTACATAAGCCAGCCGTAAGAATTAAATGCTCTCACACACACAAAATACGTAGCGCGGTGGTGGCGGGCGGCTCAGTGATTCTTATGCTTAAAGCCGCGTTATTTCCGGGAGAAGTTCTGCCGGTCTGTCTGTTTGTCTGTTTGTCTGTCGGGCGGTGTGGTGTGGTGTGCTGCTCTGTCGGCTCAGTATTTTTTAGGTGGCATTGGAATGGTTTTATTTTTCTTTGTGCTGCTGATTGCGGGGAATTGGGTTGGTTACTGGTCTTTTGCTGGGGGGTTGGGTTGGGATGTTACGGAGGATCTGCAGGGTAGTATTTATTGAAGTTTATCTAGTCTAGTTACTCCATAGTAGGGATTAGTGCTGGACGGAGAGATGGCATCACATTGGCTTGCTTGTGGTATACTACTATGAAGGGGTAAAATATCCGGAATGAAGGAAAAGGATTGATTAGTGGAAAGAGACGGAAAAGTATTCAGTATAGCTAGTACTAGCAACGCATGAGCTCATTCGTAAGAATTACAGCGACACCGAACGAAGGGATCAATTACTCGAACAGTCCCCCAATGCTGCATTTCGATGGTAGATAACTTCATAACTACGTACTGGTGCGCAATTCCTGTCCAACGACTCTTCCTGCTCAGTCCCGAGTCCACGGGCCAGCGTACCGAGCAGCTGGGAAGGAGGGTCTCAGTCAGACATGGGTATGTAGTAAGTAGGACATGTGAAACTTTGTCCGGGAGGGACTTATTGGTCTAGCTACCGGACGTATAATATCGAGCGAGGTCGATAGACGTCATAAGCAGATTCTGAAAGGACCGCTTTGCATCGGGGAAACCGACCCAGCGATTCAATGATACCAGAGAAAGTGTATATTTGGAATGGGTAGTAGGGTGCGAGGGAAAACCAGGCTGTTGTCCCTTGCTTAATGGCCGGTTTGGGGTTGATACCCTTGGTCCTGGGGCGGCCGTTCGGAATTTGAACCGTTCCCTCGGGACCTGAAGCACGCAGTGGGTGGTATTAAGGTTGGTTGATCATGCCAGGACACATTCCTCTGGTACGAATGCAACCATGGGACTGTCTGGGAGCTGCTTTGGTGCTTGTGTCACATCCCGCTAACAAAGTTGGACAGGTACCGTGGTAGCCCGTGGCGGTGCTGTTCCCTTGCACAAGGGACAAAGCAGAAGCTAAGAGGCAAAGGAAATGCTATCACGTCATGGGCAGAGTATTGATGCCAGACCAGCTGGGTAGTAGGGCCACAGGAGAATCGGTGTAGCTTATCTATCAGATCAATCGAATTGAAACAGTCTCGCGCCTCCGTAATGCAAACAGTGGTGTATAATGCGTATCAATGACAAAGCCGCCCCAACCATGCAATAACAATAACCCAATTACCTGGCCCCTCCAAAGTCGGGGAATGAAACCCTGAGATTCCTCACCGTGTGCGCTTGCTGTAGCCCCGACTTGTAGACGAAGACGGTCGCTTTTGACCAGCATTGGCAAGAGGTGATTCCGCAGCACGTATCAACGCATCGAGTCTCAGTATATAGGCCTTGGGAGCTCGGTCCACTTCAATCCGGTGTAGAATAGCTTTCAACCTGCCCACAAATTGGTGGAGCGCCATAGCCGGTACATGCTCTAGGGCATCAAGAATAAAGAATTCACCAGTTTCATCGGCCTTGCCAATAAGCTGGTGGAAGAGATTGCGTTGATCCTCGTCCTCTCCGTGGAATGTCACTCGGCCACGTTCGTTCCCCTCCAGCGCATCCTTATTACGGCCGCAGATATCCTCCAGCAATGTGACCAGGGTCTTCGCAGCCCCTTCCATACCGTGCGGTGCTCGAACGATGATGTTTCCCCGGACGCGGTCGACGTTCTCTTGAATTTTTAGAATGACAGTCTCCACGTCCATATCTCCAGCCTCACTTGAAGCTTGTCCTGTAAGGCAGTAGCGGTCGAAGTCTGCTAGTAGCTTCCGCAATCTCTGATGCACTTTGTCAAAGAAGATGACCGCGCAAGCTGCAATGGGCATCGCCTTGCATAAACTGGAATACACTCCGTCGTCGTGCACGGCGAGCCGAAACATTGTGGCTTCAAAGTCTCCCTGTACAACACACTGCTCCGGGGTACGCGACTGTCCTGCATCATCAACAAGATCGAGACGGAACTCCTCAGGCAGTATCACCGGACTAAAGGCCGACAAAATGTCCCGGACCATGTCCTGTCGGCTCATTCCCCCCTCGGCCTCGGAGCGAACATATTGCCAACACAGCTGATCCGCAATGGTTTCCAGCTTGCCATCCAGCAGTTGTTCAACGCGACCAAAGTTCGGAAGACGTCCATCGCTCGACAGAAGAATGTCGGAGGGAGGAGGTTGAGGGATGAAGCAGCCATGAAGCTGATCAAGAAGCCACTTTTACTTGGTGTTAGGATACCGGAAGAGAAAGGAAAATTTTACTCAAGGTGGGGGCATGAGGTTGCTCACGAAAATGTGCTGACAGGCCACATTAGGCATGCCTGAGAAGGTCGAGCAGGTGCACGTATACCCCTCTGAACCGAGATGAACTCGGGGCTGCTCAATGAATTGGAAATCAAACCCTGTTCGTGTCGTACAGCAGCTGACTACCTTGAACTGACTCGTTAACCCAACGAGAGCCCTGGCTTCGGTGTCGGAGTCAAGCCTGGCGAGATCATAGGTGATCCCTGACTTGCCTCGTACGGACGAAGACGCAGCTGAATCCCCCTCAGCATGACTCTCATCACTTTCGCTTCTCAGGAGCTCGCTGCTGTCGCTATCATCTGTGTGTGGCTCTTTCTCGGGCTGGGAGCGTGTCGTCGGCATGTCGCCTGTTATTGAGAGGTCGTGAAATTCTTTGGTGGGAGCAGACATTGAGAGTTATATGGCAATGGAATTTACTGTGGCTTGTGTGTCCCTGGCTTGGATTTGTATTTGCTGGCCTCCAACGGCGAGACCGGTCAGTTATATAGAGTTTGTTCCGAACCAAGGAAGGAAGCGGGTACATTGTACCAGCAACTGCTCCAAGCTTGCCGCAATCGCCTCTGCCACAGCGACCAAAAAGACAATAGAAGCTTCCATATGAACTACTGTTGGTATTTTGACTAACCACTGAGCCTTGGGACCCGCCGTCAGTGGCCCCGACTTTGCCGCATAATGAGTAAATGAGCCATCATTTGGATATCCTCAAGCATACACGTTCCACAACGATCTGGAATCCCCCAATCTGCGGTTAGTGTGTCCGGTTAACGCCCACCCACTTGGCACAGGAGACATGAGGATTCTGCGCCACAGATGTAGAGCTACTACAAGCTGCATGGGATGCTGGGAGAGAGATTTCGTGTAGCTATAGGATCAGAAGTAGCGGCAGGAGAACCATGAAATCACAGGATCCTCCCGGCTGAACCATATTAAGAGCCAAACGGCGATCATGCGCACTTGGGTGTACGAATCATAATGTGCAGCCGAGTTGGCACATCCAACCAGCCTGTAAACATAGTTAAATGTGTCGAAGGAATACTGCACAGGCCCTTGACAATCTGCACCGTTGCAGCAGGTACTTGATCAGTTGGCACAGGCTCCAATGTCAGGCGGCAACCGCTAGGAAAAAGGGGACGCGGTCGAAGCACTGGCTTCGGACTGTATTGCCGCAAGCTGCGCAACTCCTCTCCACATCATGACAGCATATTGCTGTATCCAACGCAGGAATTCCTATGGTGGAAAATTATACTATCGATTATCCTTCCCTATGATACGCATGCATCTTGTGGCACTGCATTTCTACGCCATCAAATGGCCGAAAGATAGGGATCTCCCTTCCTCAGCCTCGTAATCGAGTCGGAGGGAGAACTTCTGGGCCGCGGGTTCCAATTCGTCGTATCCGCCTTAGGCCGCGAGTAAGGGTACCGGATTTCGTGATGCGCCGCAATATCTCTCGTACCACATCTGCGGCATTGTGCAGCCTGATTAGACGTTCTTTCCATGTGGCACAAGCGGCGCTGCCTCAGAAACTGGGTCTTCAGATACTATAGATTTCCATGGTGGGTGAACACGACCCACGATTCGCTTGTAGAGAGTTCGCGGGAAGGAATTAATAGGCGCCCCTCTCTCGACCACACACTCGGAACGCCTATCTCTCCCTTCCCTCTGCGACCACCGGAGACACCGAGCCGGACAAGATTGCGACATCCAGTACAGCACAAGCCTGTACCACTGGAACAAAGAGAGTAGCCACCCTGAGGCTGTGTGCGGTGCTTCCGCCTATCCCCTTACCATGGCTACCTTCATGCCACCGCAAGATTGGCAAGTATTCGTAAATTCTGGTGTGAATGAATGCTTGAATTCTCTCCCGATAACGTAACAATGGGGTCTCTGACTCTGGGAGCTCCGGTATTACCCATAGTGCATGCCTTGGGCTCCGTAAACTGGGTCCCAGTTTGATGAGCATGAAACTTCTGCTCTCACCGGGCTAATCAGCTTTCAAGTATTCACGAAGAATTACTCATTGCTCACTATTTTATTGTATGCTTATCTCAAGTGGAGTAGAACCCTGATGGCGCCAAAGAGGAACTAGAGGATCTCAGCCAAAGGTGCTCGGCCACTCCTCAGTTAGCGCTGAACGTGGGACTGCTGTTTCGAAATTGTCATATAAACGAATGGCGCCAGAGAGCCATGATCCATTCAGCAGAGGAGCGCAATGTGGCTGTAATTTCTGCGTAATCGGAAATCTTTGGTGTTTGACCGAAAGTGACTGCGAGTTGCCTTGTGGGGAGCTGGACCCGTGACCACTGGCAGCAAGAGCCTCCTTCCAACGCCGGCTCTTCTTCTACTCTCTCGCTTCAAGAAGCTCAATACAATCAGCAATGAGACAATAGATCATATACTCTCGATTTCTCTCTTGATTGTGCGTAGCTTCTGTAACAATGAACTTGTAAGAGCCTAAACACTCTTATAGTATTAAACATGTACAGAACGACTGAAGAAACGGGTAATAGTGCGGAGAAATGAAGCTAAAACTAGAAATCGAAAAGCATCTACCGTTATCTACTAGAGACAAAATATGAAATTCGTCATGTCGTCAAACGCCTGTCTGGCAGAAAGTGATTAATAGCTATCCTCAAGGGCGGCTCGTTTCAGTGTTCATCCTCGCCGCATTTCTCCTTTTGGCATTCTCCAAAGCTTTCCGGAGCCTCTCCTGATGCTCGGGATCTTCTTCGGACTTCCGTGGTGCAATATCAGTCGTGGGATGCTGGGATACCGGCGCAAGCGTATCGGCAGACATCTGTGATGAAGCACCAGTTTGATCAACTATAGGAGGCTTGCCTAGAGACTCCAGAAGACCATTAATGCTAGTAATTATACTCGCAGGCCCAGACCTGATACTTTCGAGCTTGGACTTGAGATCCGCTTGGATCTTCGCGTCTTCTTTCCTTTTCTCATCATCGAGCCGGCGAAAAACATCGGCATCGGCGTCTGAATAACGCGCCTCGGCCACAGAAACACTGTAATCAGCATCGTTGAGTACCGAATCAGCCATATTGAAATTGTGCAAGATGGACTCTGAGTCTTTACGCAAAGACTCGATCAGGTTATATACTGATTTCAGCAACTGTTCCACCTCAGACTCTGGCAGCCCAGAGGAGCGAATGGTCGCGGTATCGACCTTGGCCACCTTCGCAGCAACTTCGTCAAGGAGGCTCTGGTTTTCACCCAACCCGTGCATGATGGCATCGTCAAACGAGTCCATCAGTCGGTTAGCTCTATTGTCTCGCTCTCTAGCCGCTTCGAGGATGTTCCGTTTCTCCATCTGGTCGAAATCGTGATCCACGCCTTTCAGCGCCACGGAGTCGCCCATGAAAACAAGAGGCCGCCTCTCAGCCTTCTTCCGCCGGCGCTCCCGATCCAAAGCAATTTCGAGACGTTTCTGGTAGCGTAGCTCGAGTTTGCGATAAATCTCATTCACCGTCCTCATAGTGTGCGACAGATTGTACCTGTCGGTGGTCGCAGACTTGGCCCGTCCATTCTCATGATCAAGTTGAGCAAGCGCGGCTTCGTAGAGCGCCTGAAGAGCAGCTATTTCTTCTTTCAAGCGTTGATCCATAGGCTCGAAAACATCGGCGACAAACTTGTCCAACTCCTGTCTTTCTTCGTCTAGCTGAGCACGAGCCTCCTTCTGGCGGAACTCCTCCTCCAGTACATTGATATCGGCATAGCCAATCTCCTTCCCATTAAAGAGCGCATCGATGCGCTTCTCCGACACCTCCTGGCGTTGGATCCGTTCCCTATCCAATTGCTCTCTGTGCGGTTTGCTTGAAACTTCCCAAGACTTTACCGCCTCCCTGATGTACGAGAAGTCATTGGAGTAATTCTCCAGATCCTTCCTAGTCGTCATATTCCACGAGCTTTCCGATTGTTTGGACATCGGCGATGAAGCCATGGACCGCAAGTCGTCAACTGGACCAGCTGGCTTTCCATGTCTGAGAGAAGCCGGCAGTGGTGGCGGAGAGGACGTTTTCCGGGGTGCTCTCTTTCGGTAGGCAACGCTCTTCTCCCTTATCAGCCCAATGAACGTTTCATCAAGTTCATTCCGACGCGGGGGCACTGCTGAACCCGGTCTATCACCGGGAATAGGTGCTGGAGCGTTCGACATTACCCGCCCACTCTCAGCTGACGCCTGCCGCAGGTCGGAATAGGCTTGATATGCAGGCCGATCAAACACAAGCACATCGGAGCCTCGTTGGGGACCTTCGGTATAGCGAAACGGGGTATAAATCGGCTGTGGAGGGTTGGTGGTCAGAGGGGGTAAGGCATGTTCATGTCGGGCATCACCGAGCATGGAGGGTGGCACTGATGTCGCTCGTGACGACGTAGCATGAGCGACAAAATCAGTGTGGTATTTATTGTTCCCTGTAAGCGAGGCAGATCTCTGTAAATTTGTTACGCTGGGTGTCTGTATTTTGGGAAGAATGGGACGTCCTCCAGGACTGTAGCTGCCATCTTCCGAGTCGTCATCCCCAAAATTCGAGACCACATGGCCACCTTCGGTTTCGACTGGTATAAGACCGGATCCCACGTCATCATTCGAGTCTTTGGTCGATGCGCGTGGAGTGGGCGTTTGTTGCCGCGGACTTTCTGTGAAATTCTCATCCACTGGCGCCGGTTCAGGCTCAATGTTGAACAGGATCTCTCGTAATTTGGTCTCCTTAGCCATGAATGCTGTGAATATATTGAAACGTTCCGCATCGGAGTCAGCCACTGCCTCCTTTCGAAGCATTGCGACATAACGTTCCAACGAGGATTTGGACCAGGGATCAAGATCATCATACGGATCGAGTGGTACAAAGGCAGGGAGGATTGTCCGTTTATCCGTAGTTGGCCCGTTGGTGACACTGTTCGAATCCACTGAGCTTGACCCAGACTGAACTTGCTTTCGAGGAATTATCGATTCCTGTCTAGGCGTCGGGGTCTCGGTTGGGCTCTGCTTCCGCGAAGGAGGCAAAATGCCTGTGCTGACCCGAGACACTGAGCTCTGAGGATTCTGCTCAGCTGATGTTTGCGCGATAGGACGGTTCCAAGCTTCGATGATACCGTCAATGCTTTCAGCGGTTTCAGAAGTGGAGATGTTACTCTGAACAGATCCAGTACTATCCATCCTGACTGGTTGGGGTGGAGTACCCTTTGTCGCGGTCTGACTAGTCAAAGGGCCTTCAGTTTGACTCGTTGTTTGGAATGCATTACTGGGAGGCGTTATAGGGCTGACAGATTCAGCCTTTCTCTCCGGCTCTTCAACATTTGTCGGGCGACTCTGAGGCACCTGTGACTGTGGGCCCGAAGAGGGCCCATCCTGGGGCCGAGAGCCAAAGGCACCTAAATCATCAATACTCCCTGGAGTGGGTGTCAGGTGCTCCCAGTCTGAAGGCCCGCCAGAGGCTAGGACAGAAGCGCTAGTCGGGGCATTGAGAGGGCTGGTCTTGGGAGGCACCGGTGGAGGAACGACGGGCGGTGTTCCATGTGCTGTACTCAAAGTCGTAGCCACAGGAGCCTGCGGAGGCCCGGGTAGTGGCTGGCTCTCATAAGATACTGGAGTGCTTGGCTTGGGGTTTGGAGCTTGAGAAATGGCCAAGTTAGGTGCATTATTGCCGGTGAGTTGTGGATGGCTTGGCAAAGTCGCTGGCTGCTGCACCGAGGAATCGTGATACTGACCCAGGGGGGCACCAGAGTAGGGAGGAGGAGGAACCGGAGGTGGTTGCTGCCATTGGTTGCTCTGCTGGGCACTTGAGCTCTGGTAAGCAGTGGAACTAGTCGGGGGCGGTGGTGGAGGCTGTAACGGCGAAGCGCTGACAGGTTGCTGGAAAGCATATGAAGGATTCGACGGCCACTGCTGGTAGGATGTAGTATCCGCCGGTTGGGTTGCCCAGCCTGGAGCAGCTGGTAAAGGTTTGTTTGGGTCTAGCGGGCTCACAATTGGAGACTGCGCCTGTGGTGATTGCGCCGTGCTTGAAGGCCGCGGCTAATTGGTTTATGCTCGTCAGAATATTGCGAGCCCATCAAAGGGAGATTGATAAACGTTCAACAACACTCACGGGTAGTGGTGGGGGCGATTGCGCATGAAGTTGGTGCCTGTTGTACTTGACTCCCCATGAAGTGGTGTCGGAGCCCGCAACGGCAGAAACGGGGGATATGCTTGTACCCGGATGAACATTAACTGCTGAAGGAGGATTGGAAATTTGACCGTAGATGGTGGGGTTGTAGGGTGATGATGATGTGGTTGTCGGACGCGGAGGAGGCGGCGGAGGGGGCGGGGAAGAAGCCCGCCATGATGGTTGTTGCGGAGGATGATGGCGAGATGAAGCCGATTGCTGCGTGTTGGAAGAAGGCAGACGCCATTCGGGCTGCGGAGGACCCGAACTTTGCGACCCATACATCTTTGGAGGGGGGAGGAACTCTTCCGCTACGTTGATCTGGTCGCAGAAATTTTAAAGAAGAGACAGAAAAGAAGAAAAACAAAAAAAAAAGCCTTCCGCAAGGTCGTCTTCCCCCCCGATGAATCTTTATTAGAAGAGGAGATGAAGAGGAGGAGGGATGACCTCAAGCGACAAGCTGCTCCCTAAGGCAGGCCACGAGGCAGATCGGCTGACCGGAAAGGAGGTCACTCACTCTCTGTGCCTTATCTTTCTCTCCTATTCTCTCTGTCTGTCGCTCTTTCCTTTCTTTTCTTTCCCTTCCCTTCCCTCTTGCCCTCTTCTCAATCAAGCAAGCGACAAAAATAATGTTAGTTCTGGGGAGATGCAGGAGCAGCAGAGCTTCACGCTTGGAAGTTGCCGAGTCGCTAAATTTCAATCCAATGGATGCTATCGTCCCTGCCACGATCCATTTATATCCACCATTCAGTGACGCCGCTACTAACTACTAGTTCATTGCGTTTCCCGCACTTGCTCCACCTTCATGAACTGCCATCATCCCAGTGTCCACCAGCACATCTACCAACTTAAGTATACTTACTATCTAAGATATAATGCTAGACCAGACCAATTCTGGGTTGCTCGAAGAACAGCCACCATCATGGGCTACTGAATTAGAGAAGTGCGCTGATGACCCCACAACAGATCATCATATATTGGTTGGATTGTCATTCATTCCGGTGGGGATATAATGCCCTATATTATACTACTCTTTTATAGATCTACCGATTACAGTTTGAACCCAGAAGCTCTGACCCATCTTTCACTCTCTAAAAATGAACAATGTCGACGAGCTCAATATACTGCTACTTTTCTGAATTGATGGTTCTTATTCGCGCACACAATGACGACGCGTACAAAGAATTTGTAACTTTTTGGAACAACATCCTCTTTGTGAGAATCTTTCATCATGATATCTCCTCTTCTATTTATAGCCTCTCAAAGAAGGTATTTACCAGGGATTCATCAGTCAAACAAGCTCGCATTATAAAGCGCGGCTGCTACTTCCTTTACATTATCTGCCCCGAATATCATTTCATTTCCAAGCTTTCTGTTTGCTTCTCCCACCCCCGTGCAAGGCAGCAGCACATACTAGAAGCGATATTCTTGGTTACCCAGCAGTCCTTTTCATAGTACACTATTGGCGAGAATCGCCTGAAGTCTGATCTATTTTGCTACGAGCCACTTCTCGAAGACTAGGTTAGGTGCTTCAACTGGCAGCGTCATGTCCAAACGCCCATACGATGATGATGACGATGACTTTGACCTATTTGCCTTTCCCCCAAGGCCTGATCTCTTTGATCAAACAAAATGGGCAGCGCATGTGAGCAGAGAAAATGCAAGGATCGCGCATCGTTTCTGGTCCCTCCCGGACACTGTACTTGGAGACAGCCTAGGAGAGCAACCCCGTTATACCCAGCCCAGGGATGCGGGCGACAATCCCGCAGCACATGCGCTCGCAAGGAATGTCTATGACCACTTGATGCACGACGAAAGATTCCTAACGCCAATTAATCCTACAGATTGGCAAAGGGAATGGACCAATTCCGGGCTGAACAACAGGGTCTGGTCATTCCGCGACATCTTCGAAGGGCAGGGACTTGATCTTGGGGAAGCCACGGAAGATCTTAATGAGGTGGACGGGCAGCTTATCAGGGACATGAAGGCCCTCCAGCTAAGAGCCGCCCTAGGGAGCCGAAACCTCTCAACTGAAGGGACGGTTCCCGTATTACGCCGGCGACTTCAGGACTATAAACGCAAAGTGTATCATCAATATCGCGTCCTGCCTCGAAGTGATCTGTCGCAATGGGGTGTCCACAGAGATGACGCGCGAAAGTACACTATCGAGATCAGCGACGATGATGGTATAGGTGCATTGAATATGTACACTTGTGCTATTCTTGCCAGCCCATATAACCCAGCTTATTGGCTGAGCCGGGCTTACTGCCATTACCAACAAGCGTTTTTTGACCTTGCCATCGGGGATGCTTATCGAGCAGAATATCTCTGTGACGTTCTTTATGATGCACACCGGCGAAGTCTCCAGCCTGGGCTCTATACGCGGATATGGCACGCTCTGGAACAGCATATTATGGTTCAACCTAGAGATCCTATCACGGGTAATTTATCTGCGGAAGCTACACTGTTTCGCAGATTCAATGGGGTTAATTTCTTCGTGCCCACGATCCGGAAGGCCACCCAGCACGTTCTTGCCCTTAGTCTCATGGCGCTCCAGTGTTGGGACGACTATAAAACAAGGGGACGTCTTCTTAGAGCTAGGACAGTGAATGCGGACCGTGACTTGATGCCATTTCAAGAGCGCGCCAAAGTCATGGAATCCGTTGCTGACAGAGCCAAGACGGCCAAGGCAAATACTGAGTACTATTATTACGAATCACGAGCCGGACACACTTCAGGAGACAGGATATATCCCCATGACGCAGACGACATCGATCGTGCTGCAGTCGCCTTTACGGATAAGGCGACAGATGTCTTTTTCAACCAGAATGAAAGCCTCCCTTGGAAGAAGTGCAGGATTGCCGCCAGCAACGATCAAGGTAACACACAACTGAAAGTGATTGCGACAGAGGATATTGCGAAGAATGAGGTCATCTTTGTCGAAAATCCCCCAATGAGAGGCCACCTCGAGCTGCCAAAGCTACCCATCAAAGTGGTACCATTAAAGTGTGACAATTGCCGGAGATCCCTGCCCGCCGAGCATCTGGAGGAATACACTCGTGAATTCGAACAAGGGAATGTCCGTGAAGCATGCAAATGTATCACACAGCCTGTCCCCATTCCATTCTGCCCTGCGCTAAACGATGACGATCCAACTTGCGCCGAGAATGCTCGAGCACGGTATCACTATCGTGTCTGTGGGGAAGACTGGGAATGGCTACACAACTCCATGCGGCCCGTAAAAGTCCTGAACCTCAACAAACTTCCCCGTTACGAGTGCTCGTTTGAAGCACAGGCAACTTTACTGAGTCTCCTCCTGCGTGAAATATTCGACATCACCCTTCACCGAAGAGAAACCCAAGATCCCAACCTCATGGCGCACGAAATCGACGAGCTTGTCGCGCTTGAAAACCCCCATAACTGGACCAATCGAAGGTTTCCCTTCAGCCTGACCGCCAACGTCCATGTCCCCTTTAATATCCTCTTACAACTCGGCGTCGACATCTTCCGCGACCTCAGCTTCGACACCTGGGTCATCCAACTCATTCTGAAGAAGCTCACTGTCAACGCCATCCCCTGCGGGGGTAAGCGTCTCCAAAAGACGAACATTATCAAGAGTAAACCCTTTCCAAAACTGGAAGCTGACCTGACGACTGATAATTTATCAACTTTCTGGCCCACTTTCTCCAAACTATATTTATATCCTGGACACAGTCTGTTCAACCATGCGTGTCCTACTGAATACAACGCCAGCTGGGCCTACTACGGCGACGAGAACCCGAATCTGATCATCTTGTGGTCATTCAAAGATATCAAGAAAGGTGATGAGATCCGCATCCCGTATTTTCACACTCTCGATTCGGGTGTCTCCACCAGCACTCTGGAACGTGCTCTCGGGGGACCTTGCAACTGTGGCGGGCCTCATCTCGATGAAAAGTATATACCATAACCACCTACCTAACAAGACACAGGCGACCTGAAAGTACGCGACAGAAGAAAAAAGCGAAGCCATCATGACAAAGGATGCAAATAGAATCTTGGTGATATAGTCTGTTTTGTTTCTATTCTTTATATATCTATACACTTTATGTCATAGCTAGCTGATGTTTGGCCTGTTGGCCATCCCGCTACACTAAGCTTCGAATTGCTTCGTTTACTTGGCGTGTGATCTGTTGTTAGTATTTCTTGATTACTCTCTCCACATTGGACAGTGGCATCTCTTCTTCATTACTATCGGTTATCTTCGATCCCGCCTCTTGTTATAGTATACTATGCACATGTGATGCACACTTTCCTCAACGGTCTTATAACAATTATCCATAAAAGAATAGCCGAGATAACATACCCAACAAGCTAAGACGGGTACACCACTTAGACAGCTTAAGGGAGAGTAGCACATATTTTCAACATTTCATTATATGCATACAGACAGAACAGAACAGAGGGACGAAGACGAACGCGCAAGAAGCCCAAAATGATCAAGATAATAAGATAGAATACAATACAGAGGCATAGATAGATAGATGCCTCGAATCCATCCATTGGCACAGCAGGATGGAGGGAGGTCACAGGGAAAAGAGAAATGGGGAGATAGAAAGAAGACAACAAAATGGGAAAGCACATGGCAAGCCAGTATAATCTTTACATACACATACAGAGTCTCTAATGCACGCCATGGGGAGGGAGATGAAATCAGACAGACAGACAGACAGACCGTTAGGCAATGACTCTCAACCGTCTACCGAGCTTCTCGAGCTCACCGATAACGCCGCCACCGGCCAGACTCCACTTCTCGCCAACCCAGGCGTCGGTGATGTTCTCACGGAGGAGACCGCTGCGGGCGAAGTATTCCATGAAGCCCTGGGCCTCGTCACGAGTGAGACCGCCGATGGTCTGGATCTCGAGAGAGCCGTCCTTGGAGGCGGGGGACTTGGTAGAAGCGGAGTCGTTGAAGACGGCGAGGACGCGCTTGTCTGCGTTGAGGTAGGGGTCGGGTTGAGGGAATTCCGGAGAGGAGGGCTTGATGCCGGCCTGGCGGGCGGCGAGCTGCTGGAGAGCGACTTCGAAGCCGTAGATGGTGGGGCTGTTGGAGCCGGAGGTGGCGTAGAGGATGACACCGCCGTTGGGGAGGGAGGGCTTTCCGGCCTCGGTGCTGGGCTTCAGGAGGGAGAGGAAGTGCTGGACGAAGACGAGGTCGTGGGCGTGGATGGGCTTGCAGTCGATGTTGTTGTACTTGGTCTCCTTCATCCAGTGGGCCAGGTTGTCCAGGGTCACGAGCATGGGAGGACGGGGCTTGAAGCCCTTCTCGAAGCCGGCGGCCGGGGCCGTGGCGGTGAGTTCGGTCCACAGGGCCTGGAAGACGTTCCATGCAACAGCGGGGTCCTGGATACCGGGCTTGGCGAGAGCCTCGAGGGTCATGCCGGGCTTGACGGCCGTCTTCAGAGCGGGATGGGGCTGGGAGACGGTCAACTTGGACAGAACCTTCTGGTTGGCGGTGACGATGCGAGACAGGAGAGCGGCGGTGGCATCATTCTGGACGTAGACGTTCGGGTTCTCATCGGAGAGGGGGGCGTAGGCAGTGTTGGCAATGACGAGGTCCTGGGCTAGGGAAGTTGTTAGTATTATTTGCGTAGTTGCATATCAGTGCATGAGTGACGGTCTCACCTTCAGGAACCGTGATCACAACCCATTCCTTGGTGAAAGCCATAGACATGGCCTGCAGCATGTGGACGGACTTTCCGGAGCCCTTCACACCGGTGATGATCTTCCTGACGACCTTTCCCTTGTTCTCACCCTCCTCAGCGGAGATACCATCAATGAGTCTTCCCAGCTCGAGCGTCTCACGCCTCACCACCGTTCCCGGACGACGGAATATAGACCAGCCCTGCTTGGGCTTGAAAGCCTGGACAGCCCTCAATTGATCGAGCATGGGCACAGGAAGACCCAGGATGGAGCCACGAAGGCGCGCATCCACCATGTTTTCGGCAGAGAGGTCCTGCATGCCTTCGACTTCAAGGGCGTTAGGGTTGCTGAGGACGATGCGTTTGCGGAGCGCTCTGCGTTCTCCGACAGCGGGAGGACGCGTCCTCTCAACGGGCTTCTTCTTCTTCATTTTGGCGGATTTAGCTTGACGGTACTTGGCAACCGGTAAATCGCCCTTCTTCTTAGCTCCCGCGAGGAGCGGCGTTGACGAGTGGAATGCTGCTACTCGCTGTGCTGTTAATGTCGGCGGGAGGATAGCTCGGGGAGCGGTAGGAAGCCGCGTAAGGCAGCTCCAACAGAAGGAGGAAACCATCGCGCTGCGGTACACACTGGCGCTGTGGCCAGCGTCCTAATCGGTCAATTGGGATTGATTGCGGCGGGGATGGGGGGTGGGAGCGGAGGATTGCGCGGAGGAGGAGTCGCCCAAAGACATGGAATGGATTGAAATTCGGAGCACATTTTGGAGCCTCGACTCAGATTCCTCCTCCCTTGCCCCTTCGGGACTAGTGTCAGTGCCGCCGGAACAGAAGGCGGTGTGACAGGCCTAAAAGCAGCATGGCGATTTTATCTCCCGAACTTTTTTTTTCCTCTTTACCCGATCGGTCAAATCACTTGTTTCCTTTGCGCCCAGTTCTCCAATCTTTTTCGGAGTCCCTGTGTGATACTCTCAACCTCAATCCCCAGAGTATCTTGTTCGCCAGTTGCGCGACAGAAGGACAAAATGGCGTCTACCGACTCCAAGCCCAAGCCGGAGAGACTGTAAGTCAAATCCACCTCCCCATTTGCGTGGGGAAATATCATTATCATCTATCTATATAAACTCCGTTGAACTTGAACAAACACACATACTAATTCTTCAATGATGATACTATCAGCCCCGTGACTGTCTCCAAGCCCACCCCTTACACATTCGACCTCGGTCATCTGCTTGCGAACGACCCCAACCCTCTCGAGATCTCCCGCTCCGAACCCTTGGACGTCAGTCTCAAGGCCACAGCCCGGGATGGCACCCAGTCTCTTCTCAACCAGCTCCTGACCACCTGCCCCATCACCTCCTCCCAACAGGGTGTCCTCCTGACTCTCCCACCTCCCACCACCGTCCTCCCTCGCTTCAAGCCCCTTCCCACCCCTAAGCCCCCGACCAAGTGGGAGCTGTTCGCCCGCAAGAAGGGTATTGGCAAATACAGCAGCAGGCCTGGTGCGGCATTGGCCGACAAGGAGCGTCGCAAGAAGTTGGTGTACGATGAGGAGAAGGGCGAGTGGGTTCCTCGCTGGGGTTACAAGGGCAAGAACAAGTCCGATGATGAATGGCTTGTTGAGGTGAACGAGAAGGATTGGAAGAAGGAAGAAGAGGCTGCCGCTAAGGGAAGCTCGATCCGTGGATTATCTCGTGCCGAACGCAAAGACAGGATACGCCGCAACGAGAGGAAAATGAGAGCGAATGAGCGCAAGAGCCGGAAGTCGGGTGGTGGTTAAACAACGAAAAAACCGATGATGTGTATTATGTGCTGTGTGTGTCGTTGTTGTTGTTGTGTCTGATAACGATCTTTGTCAAGAGTCGAGGCCGTATAACAAGTTTCTGCGGATCTTGCCTTGGTTTTAATTTTTCGTTCTTTCACCTGGGGCTCAAATGTTACGGCGTTCGGTTTGGAGTCGCTGGGCTTGGATGTCTGTCAATGTTGCCTTTGGTTTGGGACTTGTTCGTCTCACCGGGCTCGAAAAAGCAATATCATTTTACTACCCCCTTTAAGGATTTGTCTTATCTCTCGATCTTCTATGGGGTCCGCACCATAACCGGGGGGACTACTTGACTTCATCTGTACTACTGTTTCGCTTGTAGATACGCCTCTATATTTTTCAAATACCAATAGACCATCCAGCCTGCCAATACTAATTCCAATTTCTCTTCAAATTGATGCATCGCCTGTCATTGGTCTATCTTACAGCTATGTACCAATATACGCCAAAGAATTGAGAAATAGTACAAAGCAAGGACCAAAAAAGTGTCATGAGTCGCCAAATTCGGGGGAAAAGCACCGTAACACAGCTCAAGTGGGGAATCAATAGATGAATAAGCCTTTAGGAAATGAGATAAGGAAAGAACATGCATATGATGATTCCAAAAGAACAAGAAAAGGCTATAAAGGTGATATGTCGCCAACGGTGCCAAGAAGTGGAAATGTGATCGAGCAACGACGGAAAGAGAAGACGAAGAGAAAGATTTGTACAACAAAAGTCAAAGCGTCATGTAGGCCTGAACTGAACCGACTCCAAGGCGCCAGGCATGCAGTCTGATGGTGGCCCGATATAGCTGGAAAATCGTCGCGGAACTAAAACTGGTGAAGGCATAAAGATGAAAAGCTGAAAGTTCATGTATGCGCCAACGTCTAGAGCAAGAGATTGGGAAATGGTGTATGAGCCGGATCACAATCGAAAGGTATCATCTCACTCATCATGCACGACCTGCGGATCCAGTCCCAGGCCCTACACTTGGTGAAGTAGAATTTCGAGCATGTAGGCCAGCCTATTCGGGTAATGAAATGGGGATGTTGGTGGATACAGCGTATTGGAATTCGCTGGTGAAAGCTCTATATGAAATGTTGTTTAGATCTGGATCGGGGAAAGTGGGGGGCCGAGTTCGGGAAGCTGTGATATGCTTCTCGTATGCGAGGTCTCAATGTTCTTTGGTCTCTGCTTGCGGTTCTTCGGTACTTCGGGGCGCGGTGGCTCTTCTTCCTGTTCAGGTTGGCTGCTACCGGAAGAGACAGCCCTCTCGTGGCTCTCATGAGCTTGACGAGGTTGCTGGTGTTGCTGGAATTGCTGAATTTGCTGTAATTGCTGAGGTTGTTGGACCTGCTGACAATCGTGGACTGCTTCATCCTTCTCCTGGGCCGCCTTTTCCTTTTCATCCATTTCCTTCTCAATTTGAAGATATTCTTTCTCTGTCCAGCAGCCTTGCCAGCAGTTCTTCCAGTCGCAGACCAGGAAGTGGAAGCAGAATGCATCAATCTTCATGCAAGGCTGGAAGCAAATGCAAAGGTTGCGGTAGTCCATTTTGTTCTGGTCGACATAGGAGTGCAGGAGGTTTAGGTGACAGGTGATGGCGAAAAGAAGGTAATAGTTATAAGGCGGCAACTTGGAAAGTTCATCTTTCAGCATTTGTGGCGCGGTCGTTGCACCCTCGCATTTCTCAGCGATTAAGGCTTGTGTCTCCTTGGGGAAGAGCTCATCTGGCAATTCACGAAGCCAGGCCTTGAACATCGAGCCAATAGTGTTAATATCATAGAGGTCTGGCACATCGAAAAGGTTGATGTCAAGTTCTGAATGGAAACGTCAGACTCGAGCAGAGAGAACCAGGGTTAGCAAAAGAGAGGTACCTGTATCGAAACGTCTTTGCCAGTGTTTCACCTCTTTCCCGCTTCCCGGGACTCGGTAGAGTCCCTCTTCTTCACATCCCTTGAAATTGAGGTAGCTAGCACGTCGTTAGCACATCCATTCCAACATGCAGGTTCGTGATATTGCTTACTCGACGCAGCGGTAAGGTAGAGCAGGCATCCAGAACTCGGTTTTGTCTCTACAATCTTCAAGTCGCTTTGCGATGCGAGTCCGCCTTGCCTGTTGTATGAGTGGCAGGTTGATGACTGAGCAAACATAATTGTCGTCATTGACGAGCTCCCGCTCATTCGTGCTCCCGCTCCTGGTAATCTTGCCGAAGAAACCCTTCCCAGCCTTGCCGATACGATCAGCGGCGCCACTTGACGATTGTTTGAGGTTATTGAATAGCGCAGCGGATGCGCCTGACACCTGGCTTAGTGAGGCGGACGGAACCATCGATCCCGCATAGTATTTATCTTTACGCATATGACCGTTATGGTATTCTGCGGGTCGGTCGGCGGTATAACTGCGAGCCGTAGGATTCCCAGCCGTCCTGATATTACGCTCATGACGTGGGGCAGTCTTCGGAGGCTCTTGCACCTCCCTCCGGGTGTTCTCTTCCAGCCTCATCAGGCTAGTGGATGGGCGTCGATGTGCTATCCTGTTCATAGACGAGTCGTCCAGCCTAATCGAGCGGGAGCGAGAGAGGAGGTTTGCAAAGCGTGGCTTGTTCTTCTTGGCTAGGTTGAAGGCGTCCGACTCCGTACCCACCTTCTTCACTTCTGCTGGTTGGGGACACTTCTCCTCAGCACGATCACCACCTATTGAATGGCCTGTCAGCGCACGAGACAGATGTATGGCTGGACGCATCCACTTACGATTCTCTTCTTGAGCTGCCCGCTCAATAGCACCTGGCAGATCAGGTGTTGATTCGTAGAATTTTGTTGAGATCTGGGTTTTACGGTCCCTGGAACTGCCGCGGCTCTTGGGCTTTTCGCCCGAATTCCCTGAGCTATCCGAACGTTGGGCCCTGTGTGATGACTTTGGTGCTTTGAGGTTCGCAAAGAAAGAGCGTGACTGATCACGCGTGTGCTTAGGGGTGTCTTTCGGGGAAGGAGGATACTGGGGTATAGCCGTTATACCCGGAGTAGCTGGTTCCGCAGGGGCAATACCCGGAGAGGTTGCTGGGAACGTAGGGCTACTCGACTTGCTGTTGGAATCTTGTGTGACGGGTCTGATAGTGGCCCCTTTGAAAAAGGGCGAGCTCGATGATGACTTGGGGGAACGGGGTGTCAGGGGACTTGGCCCCTCGGAGCTTTGGGCACCGGGCGTCAGTGGAGACGAGATCTTCGCATCCGCCTGCAGAGTGGAAGTGCTAAGATCTAAATTCGGAACAGTGGACTGTCTCGATGGCATCGTAAGTGTCAATCGCGGGTCAGCAGGTGACCCTGAATTGTTGAACCGGAACGCGGTCTGGGCTGAGGAAAAATAATAGTACGTCAAGGATCGGCTGCGACACCAAGTGGACGATGAAAAAGGACCTAGGGGCGAAAACAGGTTAGCATCCATAAGGTCTCATGGATGGTGCTAAATTTGGATATGATCCGGCTCCCGGCAAAGCTCCTGATTCTAGAACTTACTCCTTTTTCAAATAGAGGACCACGAAGAATTGGTCTCGGGGAGCATAAATATCCTAGCGCTCCCTTGGCAAAAGAAATGCGAATACCCGATATTTGAGTGGTGTATGAATATTGATAAGGAAATGATTGGAACCGGACCAGCCTTGGCCAATATTTCCGGATATGTTGGACTCGCGGAGCACAGTTGAAGGGGGCTGTTGCTGTTCTGCAAGGATATATCGGGGCGATGGTTCTAACGTAGAGTCGCATAGTGGTTAGCTAGATGGAAGTTCAAGACGCGTTCCTGAGAGCATCACGGCAGGGGAGACGGTGCACTGGGTACAGAATCATGGGTAGGGATCTGTTGGATAAAGCTACTACACCCTAGGGAAGAGCATTGAAACACCATTCCCCTAAGAATAGACAGCAGTCTCAGGGCAAATGAGCTCTCTTGACGGGAGCAGATAGTGAACAGTCGATTGAGGATTCGACTCGAATAAGAAGAAAAAAAAATAAAGTCACCACACACATACCAGTTTGCGCCGCCCCTCATGTTAGATGGAGACTCCCCCTCCGGTTGTTACTTATCCCCTCCCACGGCAATTTTGACCGAACAGCGATGTGAACTGTTGCTCCTGGTGACTTAAATGTGGTGATAGAGGTGGTCCAAAAAAAAAAATAGACGCTCGCCTAAGATTCTCGATTTGTGTGTCTGAGCGGTGTTGAAGAGGGCGGTCGGCGTACCAAGGGGACGAGTAGGTGTCGGCGAATTTGCTAGCTAATCCCAAAGCGACAATGAAGATGCTAAAAAAGAATAAAAATGAAGGGAACAGGAACAGGGACAGGGAAGAACAAAGAATTTGCGTCCGCTTGACGGGTTTCCCGAAGAAGTGGTAATAGTGATCAAAGAAACACGAGAGCGCGAGTCCGCACGGTGTTGGAGGTGTTCAGACTTGAATGTCGCAGCGACGACACATTCCTGGACGGTGTTATGCAAGCGCGGCTGTGTGTCAGGCTAAGAAGCCTCCGTTTTTTTAAGGGGGGAGTCGGTAGTGGAGATAGCGTTGCAAGGCTCCGGAATAGTTTACTGGGTGGCTTCAGAGTGCTTATGGGATTATGGAAAGCCTATCGTTTTAGTGCACAGACAACCAGATAAGTGGCAGGTGGATGGATGCCCTTGGATTTTTTGGGAAGGGAATAAAATAATAGTAATGAGAAAGAAAAAAGGATAGTGGATAATGTCTGTAATTAAAACAGGTAAGGACGGTTTAGCATGTTACTCCCTTCCTGAAGAATGAATGCTGGAAGAGGTTCTCTTACTGATCGATAGTTTCAAACTTTTAAACTTCAAGTAAAGAGCCAGATATTGGTGGGCAATAGATAAAAAAAAAGAAGTAATAATAATAATGATAATAATAATAATCTAAGAAAAATATCAAGTGAAGAATTGATGAAGCACCCTAAACCAAATTTGAGGGATTGAGGTTAAAAAGGGAAAGGAACTCGTGGCTGGTACCAGGAGGATGACGTTGGTCCAACCCACGTATTGATGGGTTAATATCTGCAATAGTCACCGAAATACCCAAGTACCTTACAGCTGGGGGAAGAGAGGGGGGCAAACTGGAAAGGTTAAACTTCCCATGGGGAGAAAATCGAGAGGCTGTCCGAAAAAGAAAGTCAAAATCCACATCCAAAATAAATTAACTCTTGACTACAAAGTATATTGTTGCTATATAATTGCTATATAACTCGCAGCTATTTCATCACTATCGAAATGAAAGACAAGAGGCCAAAGAAGGAGAGAAAAAAATGTTTTTGGAAGATTCAGCAATTTCGTTGTGTAGGTAGACTACACAAAGTGTACATAGTTAGTTATCTTTTGTGCCTGTCGGTTGGTTGCCCCTGAACACGCTACTGCGCAATAACCCTTGTGATGATGGCAACCCCGGGGCTGCAATGGCCACCTCCTGCGTGGACGGAGTACAGGCCATTGGGATATACACCGAAAGATCGGAAGGACCCATCCAAACACTCGAAGCGGTGACAATGACTGGCCAGAAAAGATCGGGTCTGGCAGTTGGTGCCTTGGGCGGGATGATGCATGCCCGGTCTAAGAGACAGCCATTGCGACCGTGGATTGGCCAACCAAGGTCCTGTGGACGGGGCTTCAGTTGCAGGGCCAAATCAGAAGCACCCGGGAGACACGAGTACCTGACGCGGAGGCCCATCACAGCAGTTGAGTGGCACCTTATCTGGCTGCTTAGTATGCAGTAGTCCAAGAGTCTTATGGCACTAAAAGTATTCTGTCGGCTCCGCAGACGGTCGCCATTGCTGCGTGGGTTATTTCCGACGTCTTCATGGTGAGAAAGAAAAAAAAAATAAAAAAAAATTCTTTGTTGTTTGTTCATAAAGTGTCTGATTGTATAGGTTAAAAATTATGTCTGAATATTGAACTCCCATCAAATGGTCTGATTCTTGAAGCTGTATGGGAGGTCAACCATGGTTCAGTCAAGACAAATTTGATACAGTCAGTGGGGATGGTAGGGAAAAGAGGAATTAATGCGTACTCGGTGCCTGGATAGTGTACCCCGTACCCAGGTACTACTGACTTCCTAGGCACCGTTGAACGAATAAGTAATGGTTATCATTGTCTTATTGCCCCGCTTTACCAATGACATTTATAGCACCAAAGCACCAAATGTCTACACTTTCTGGTTGTGCCTCTTATTATGTACGGTACATTCCGGATGGCTAAATATAGACAAGGGGAAGAAAAAAGAAAGCAAGAGAGCCCTGGCGAGCAGGTTTACGTCCCTGGAACTGTCATTTTGAAAAACGCGCTCCTTTTTGTAAGCAATGCTGGACTGAAAACAAAACATACTTTGGCGCTTCCATGTGTGAAGTATATTCCGGTAATTCCACGGGGCATTATACGCTGCCACAGAGAGCACGCGGCTTCCCCCCTCTGGTGGTCTAGCGCTTCGTTGCAGTGGTGGAGAAATCAGCTCAACCCTTCCGGTTAGCAAAGGTAGCGTGCTCTCCCTACCGCTTTAGTACTCCACGACAACCGACTGCTTTTGACATAAAATAATCAAATGGAACTTATCATCAATGTGGACTGCTGAGGGTCATGCACCTCATGGCACTTATGCGAAAGCGTTATGGGCGTTGCCCGTTTAGCGATTTCTGCCTGGAGCCTAGATAATCTGCTAGTACTAGTAAAATATATACATAGTAGTATCTAGTTTAGTCGACGGCATACTTACACGTGGGACAATGAAAGACTCATATGACTACTACGCCATACCGAGTCAATAGCCCGGCACTACGTAATTATGCCTAGCTAGTACTATCGGAGTAGAGAAAGACAGAACCCACATTCCCCATTCATACCTGCAGTTCTGCACCTGGTGCTCATCATCACAAGGATCCCTCTTACGCTCGGTAGAAACCTTCGATACTACCTGCCTACCTTGGACTTACATGCATTTGACAAATTTGATTGACATTGCCACCAACTTACTTTGTACCTAGACCAGAGTGGGACGCGGGAGCCCGGCCTCCATGGCATCGGCACAAGGGCCAGCCACCGAACATTTCAGAGCGAGCAGGGACCCAGGGGCAAGCAGTCTTTGGCGCTCAGGGGTTTCACACCGCTGTCCGTGGGAGACGGCGATCCTGCCCTAAACGCCAGGCTGAAACAATGGGCCCCGCTTTTTGGCCCAGCGGCTTTCCCGGTGGCGCTTGATCACGTGATGGTCAGCCCTCCCTCTCGTCACCAACCGCCCTCCACCACACACACACTTTTTCCCCGAAGCTTGCTTTTTCCCCCTCCTCCCAGCTTCCCAAGTCGTCCACGACTAACCTCCAAAGACACCTCATACTAACCTCACCTGCAGTGAGGGGGACACGTGCAGCGGTTGCCTCCCTTGACGACCCTGTGTTTGCCACCCCCAAAGCTTCGAGCCTGCTTCTCCGCCTTGATCGCCCTTGTGTTGGCAGGCACAAGCTTCGTGGCCTTGGTCGGAACAGCGCATAAGGCTACCTTCCTAGCGCGAGCAGGAAGCTTTTCCCTAGTCCGAAGCTCAACCACTAATCACACTGCTTTCAGCCAGCAATCCGATCACAAAAATGTCCTTGGTTTCGGGTCCTGGTAGGGCTGCTGGGACTGAATCCAGCTTGAACCTTAGTGTCGAAAGACATGTGGATTACATCAAGAACTTGGACAGCGTGCGTCATTCTTACTATAACCATGGTTCTTCTCTTCATGATGGGGAAGATGGTTGACAGGTGATGCTAGAGGAGGGATGAGCTAGAATATTGGCTTACAGAACACCTTCGCCTGAATGGGGTGTATTGGGGCTTGACAGCTCTACATCTCCTTGGCCGTCCCGATGTCCTTCCTCGTGAAGATACCATCGACTTCGTTCTCTCGTGTCAACGGGAGAACGGAGGCTTCGGAGCAGCTCCGGGCCATGATGCACACATGCTGTACACAGTGTCGGCAGTGCAAATTCTCGTAACCCTAGACGCGGTAGATGAGCTGGAGAAGCGCGGTCTAGGAGGGAAAGAGAAGGTTGGCACTTTCATCGCAGGGCTACAGGACAAAGACACTGGCGCTTTCATGGGTGATGAATGGGGTGAAAGAGATACACGCTTTCTGTATGGCGCGTTTAATGCACTCTCCCTTCTTGGGCTTCTTCACACAGTTGATGTACCCAAGGCCATTTCCTATGTCCAGCAGTGTGAGAACTTGGACGGTGGCTATGGCATCCATCCTGGAGCTGAGTCACATGCCGGTCAAATCTTCACTTGCGTAGGAGCTCTGGCCATTGCCGGACGACTGGACTTGGTAAACAAGGACCGTCTTGGGGGCTGGCTCAGCGAAAGACAGGTCGAAAATGGTGGTCTGAACGGAAGGCCCGAGAAACTACCCGATGCATGCTATAGCTGGTGGGTTGGAGCTAGCTTGGCTATGATCGACAAACTCCACTGGATCGATAGTGGCAAGCTCTCTGCTTTCATCTTGCGCTGTCAGGTATGTTATCCCTTTCGCCATGGCCTTGCCGGCATGGCGCTGACGCAATTAGGATTCGGAGGCTGGGGGCATCGGAGACAGACCAGGCAGCATGGTAGATGTGTTTCATACCCATTTTGCCATCGCTGGTTTGAGTCTGTTGAAGTTCAATGGCATCCAAGAAGTAGATCCAGTCTAGTGAGTTATGCAACCTGCGCAATGCAAGAGTGCGGATGGCTAACCTTTTTGTTTAGTTGTATGCCGAAGGCAATTACACAGAAATATCTGCAACGGTAATCTTTGGCTGTATGATGACATCACACCTCTTGAGTACTTTTTCTTGACGTAGGCCTTACCTCCTGCAATCTAATAACCCGTTTTTCTTTATCTCCATGGATTATGGGATACAAGGCAGGAGAATAGTGATTGGCACTGTGACTTATTTCCGCTTCATACCCCCTCACAATAGCCTTACGGAAAGGCTGTTAAGACACAGTGGCACATGAACCGTAATTATAGTCAAGACATACAGTAGCTAGTTAATCAACATGGAAGATGAATGAAATTCGTTGTATCCTTAAAAGTTAAATGATAAAGTCTCGAAGTGATTAGTGTCTGTATCGTAGCCATAATTCACCCAATGCTTCTTGATAATGCCAGATGCTAAACGCATGCCGTCCGTTTCGTCTGCAACCACAAAAAGACCATGGCCATCATAACGTTTACTAGCCATGTAGCAAACGTTTATCTTGACTGAGACATTGGTTGATTCGTGGTCCTTTCCTTGCTGCTAGTTGATTATTCAAATAAGAATACACTTTCGAAATCCCAGTAGTAGAGCTCGGGCTCTCGGAATGGCCAAGATATATATATTATCATGTCAACTGTGGTAGTATGTAGTATAGTAGTTCAATAAGCGGTACTAGTACTCTGCCAACTTAATTTTTGGCTCCTAGTTCCCAGTCTTCGGACGTACTAGTTTATAGAATACAGATAGAATGTTAAATTGGCTTACGGTGATGCCTCTCACACTGATTGCACCGGAACTATGAATTGTGTGATTGATAATAGGACTGTGTATCATACATAGATACGGTTCCCGTGTCTATGCTGAAGTATTGTGTTCCACCTACCCATAAAAATGAAACTACTGTGCTGACCACATTCTAGTATTTAAATCATTTTGTATTGGGGTCGCCCATTGAAATCCCCAAATCAGAGGTCTTGCAATTGGTATGAGTGTCAACTATGATCAATCGATTGGCCTACTGTATTTGCTACCATATCTGTATTGATACCTGCCTGCCTGGAGCGAGCTGGTCTTGGTAGCTCTTTCTCCAATTGTGAAATAACAGTGAGAAAGTCAGCCGGGCAGGTCCCCCATCTTCCTGTAGCGCCTCTTCTTTTGGAGCTTCTCATCCATTCCTTCCGAGGCCGGCCTCTCACATCTGTTGTTGATAGAAACTTCTCCTTGTTGTTTCCTTAGATATATTTTCCAAAATCAGGAGCCGGTCCCTATTACACCACTTTCCGAAATGGATGCAGCTGCACTTTTGTGCAATATCTGCCCCAAGCGGCCCACATTCAGCGATGTATCGCACTTGCTTACCCATATCTCGTCAAAGGCTCACTTGTCCCACTATTTTAAACTTCAAGTACGCAGTCATCAAGAGAAGCAAGCAGTAGCCTTGCTACATGAATATGACAGATGGTATAAGAGAAACAATTTGGCCAAGTTGCTCTCGGATCGGATGTCCTCGAAAGAAGCCCGCAAGAAAAAGATACACGAAAAGTCATATACGGAGAGCGAGACTGATAATGCTACAGTGCCAGTATCCACTGCAAGTCCTTCATTCCAGAACCCACTGCCTGATTATCTGGATCCGCGTCTCTCTCGTTCGTATGTCATTGCGGAACCTGAGACTGAGGACATGAGCACGCCATACTCTTCAGCAAATGCCGCTTCTAGTGACCCGTCGTATAATCTCATGCATACTTACCCCGGACTGGAAGACCACTCGCTGGCCCCAGTAACCTCACCGACAAAAACATCACAGGCTCTTTGCAGCCCCTGGAAGCAAGAACCACTGCAGAGGGCGGAGGACGAGGACATCCCGGTGCAAACCGCATTGTACTGGGCAAAGGCAACGGACAACGAAGCAAACGTGACTCCCCAGCCATCCAACCAATACAGCTGCGATCCATTTGTTGACGATAATGAAACTGACAGCATTTACTTTCCCACCATAAATGAGATGGAGAAGGAAAGAGCAGATGAGATAGCCAGACTGAAGGGTGTGCTGTGGCCTGGAATGGATATATTTGACTCGGCTACCGAACAGATGAGACGCAGACGCAATCAGAAGAAAGACGAAAGCATCTTGAAGCTCATGGAAAAGACGTCCCTTTGTGTGGAGCCCACAGAGCTTGTCTTTTCCCCTACCGGGATTTTACGGAAGCAGCGTGTGATCTCAGGTAATGTTGAGGACAGCAGCCCTCTCAAAGGGGAGACGCCCATTCCCAAACGTCGAGCAAATCGCCCCAAAAGGGTCCTCTCTCAAGTTGATCCTAACATCCAACGTGGGCAAAGTAGGAAACGAACCAGAAGGACTACCAAGCGCATGGAGAAACTGGTGGATAGAGATACAAGAGGAAGAGATTCACAAATCCCCAAGGGATCCCTAGGGCCTCAGCGGCTGCTTCGATATGGCAGTCGCGGGGATGACATGGACGAATTTGAATTATCCTTCAAGGGGACAAAGCTAAAACCTCGCACTGGATTCACCGTCTTTCACGATAGACCAAGTCAGTGTAATGCTGGTTCTACGGATCATAATCATGGCGATGGAACTCATGCTGTGGCGTCGGCTCCCTCTCATCCTCTATACCTCCTCAAGGATTTCACACTTCATCATGATGCTTATCCACTATCACCTGGTGACCAATCTGCCGCAGGGGCTGGACGAGCGCATGATTTGGCCATGGACAAAGAGAACATTGAACCACTCCTGGATGTTCGTGGCCGTATTGATCCTCTGATGGACTGGCAGTCCCCTTCCCTCACGGAGCATTTGACCAGCGGAATCTGTTACCCACCGCAGTACTTTTTTGGAGATCCTCGACCAGCCGGCTTCAGATCGTTCGAAAACCAGGAAAGTCCCACTGGATACTCGTTCAACCCTTTGGCCGTTTCACTCTCTGGTTTGCCCGCCGACGATGGTCCGATGTATACTCCAAAACCGGAACATAGATCGAACAACCAATATGAAACACAGCTTGGCTCACCCGAGTCAACAATTTCGGACATTGATGAAAGCGAGTTTGGTCGACTGTACCTGGACGGGACCTCGTTCTAAGTTCTGGTCCTCGCCTGTGTGGCCTGAGTTGAGTTCGGTTTCTGCGTGTCGAACTATATCTTTATATGGCCCCTGCACAATCTTAGTCGACTTCGGAACCAAAATTGACATGGCTTTGTAGCTTTCTTTGCATTGCCTAATATACAAGCACACCCATTATGTGGTATAAATACTTGAATGGTTAGTACTGCATTGGGGTCAAACTCAATGGTAGCCGCTATACATTGACTGTCGGACGACGCCCCTTGACACTGTATACTAGTATGTTATAATGTATAATAACTCCAATAACGTCATGTTTACACCAAGAAAAAGACAGGGGGACGAGGAGAGAGAAAGTGTATACTCCGCTCGATGCCTCGAAGTAGTTCAGTGATTGTTTCTGCCTCAGGCATAAAGATTATATCATCTTCAAGTGCAATTAAGGGAACTACGCGTGACGGGCGTGACGGAGCTCCTCCACGCGTCAAGGTCCCCGACCCGCGGATACGCATTTGACGCTGAGGCGAATACTTTGGCTCCGGATACCGTTTGATGCGATTTGATTGATGTCTGATATATGAATACTGAGGTCCTAGGTTGTTATCGGACTCTAGGGCGCGACCAGCAGGCGCTACCGCCACCGCGAACCCTTTCCCCTCGGTGTTGCTAAGATAATTTGCCTCGGCGACTGTCAGTGGTTTCGACCACGAAGAGAAAATGCCTCTTCCCTCATCACAGACTTCTTCGTCACCGGGAGTGAAGCGGAAGCAGTCAACCCTCGCGAGCTTCTTCACGAAGAAACCACAAACAGCTCAACACTCTCCAGTCAATGTTGTTGAAGAGAAAAGCCCAGCCGCAACCCCCAAGAAGGCGGATAGTCAGGAACGAGCGCCAAAGAAGGATACCGCCCTGACCGATGATGAGGAGGATGACATAGTGGCACCGGCCCCTAAAAGAGTTAGAACAAATGGCCTTCACATCGCAAGCAAAGAAGAGGTTCCGAATTCAACATCCACTACAGAGCGACCCCCGGCGTTGACTGGTAGCCAGAGGACTGAGATTTTCAAGTTCAGCAGATCACCTGCGGTGAACACTGGAGCAGAAGGGCCACAAGCGGCAGGTGAACTTGAGGCTAGACAAAGACAGAAGGAGAGAGAAGCGTTACACCAGAAGTTCGTTCGGAAATTGGGTGGTGCGGACTGCCTCATTGGCATTGGTAGAAATGCTATCAGCGAAGCTACACCCGAGGAGGGGGCTGAGGCCGAAGATGAGGAGGAAGCAGCACCACCTCCTGCCAAGGGCAAAGCTGCTGCAAAGAAAGGCGGAAGCAAGCTCACTCCAATGGAGAAGCAGGTCATCGACATCAAGCGCAAGCATATGGACACCGTCCTAGTAGTTGAAGTCGGCTACAAATTCCGATTCTTTGGTGAAGATGCGAGGGTCGCCGCAAAGGAATTGTCTATAGTCTGTATCCCTGGAAAGCTAAGATTTGACGAACGTAAGTATGGTTCCGTCGCCTCCTTTCCATCTTCTACTTTAATCGTGAATCGTGCCTAACGTAGGTCTTGTCAAATCTAGATCCTTCAGAAGCACACCTCGATCGTTTCGCGTCCGCTAGCATACCGGTTCACAGATTACACGTTCATGTAAAGCGCCTCGTTGCCGCGGGTCATAAGGTCGGCGTCGTGAGACAAATCGAGACTGCTGCTCTGAAAGCAGCGGGCGATAACCGCAATGCGCCTTTCGTGCGCAAACTCACGAACTTGTACACCAAGGGTACCTATATCGACGATGCGGAAGGCTTAGAAGGGCCTATGCCTGCAGCATCCGGTGGCGCCTCACCAGCAACCGGCTACCTGCTGTGCATTACCGAGACAAATGCAAAGGGCTGGGGAAATGATGAGAAGGTTCAAGTGGGGATCGTAGCTGTCCAGCCGGCTACAGGAGATATTGTTTATGACGACTTCGAAGACGGATTCATGAGGAGTGAAATCGAAACGAGGTTGCTACATATTGCACCCTGCGAGCTTTTGATTGTTGGCGAGCTTTCCAAGGCTACTGAGAAGCTCGTTCAGCATCTCTCCGGCAGCAAGTTGAACGTCTTCGGGGACAAGACCCGCGTGGAAAGAGTGCCTAAGTCGAAGACTGCCGCCGCGGAATCACACAGCCATGTCTCCAGCTTTTATGCAGGAAAGATGAAGACTGCCAGTGCTGCAGATGACGCGCAGGCAAGTAGCCTACTTCAAAAGGTGCTCAATTTGCCAGAGCAAGTGACTATTTGCCTTTCGTCCATGATTGAGCACATGAAAGAATACGGCTTGGAATATGTTTTCGAGTTGACCAAATACTTCCAACACTTTTCCTCCAGATCACACATGCTTCTGAACGGGAACACTCTGATGAGCCTCGAGATCTACCAAAATCAAACGGACCATACGACTAAGGGCAGTCTCTTCTGGACGCTTGATCGGACTCAAACGCGGTTTGGACAGCGCATGCTCCGGAAGTGGGTAGGACGCCCTCTGCTAGATAAGTCGAGGCTGGAAGAGAGGGTGAACGCCGTTGAAGAGCTGAAAAATCCAGAAAAGACGGTAATGGTAGAGCGGCTCAAGGCGTTGCTTGGAAAGGTCAAGAGCGACTTGGAAAAGAGCTTGATCCGGATCTATTACGGCAAGGTTAGTTCTTCGTCTCTATTTTTTATCACTTGAATAAAGACTAATAAAACAACCAGTGTACTCGACCAGAACTCCTCACCGTTTTGCAGACGATGCAAATGATTGCGCAGGAATTCTCTGACGTGAAATCACCTGCGGATACCGGTTTTGCGTCTGCTGCCATTAATGAAGCGATCACTTGTCTCCCTACGATCCTGGAAGACGTTATAGCTTTTCTGGACAAGATTAATATGCATGCTGCGAAGAGTGATGATAAGTATGCCTTCTTTCGCGAAGCCGAAGAGACAGAAGATATCAGCGACCAAAAGCTTGGCATTGCAAGTGTTGAACACGAGCTTGAGGAGCATCGCTCTGTTGCTGCCCAGAAGCTTGGGAAGAAGACGGTCGAATACAAGTCTGTTGCGGGAATTGATTATTTGATTGAAGTCGAGAACAGCTCGGCTTCCATTAAACGTGTGCCTGCATCATGGGTGAAAGTGAGCGGCACCAAGAAAGTATCAAGGTTTCATACGCCGGAAGTCATTCAACTCATGCGACAGCGTGACCAGCACAAAGAAGCGTTGGCCGCGGCTTGTGACAAGGCTTTCATATCCCTTCTCGCTGATATAGCAACCAAGTACCAACCCTTCCGGGATAGTGTGCAGGCATTGGCCACGCTTGACTGCCTGATAGCTCTGGCGACTATAGCCAGTCAACCGGGATACGTGAAGCCCGAATATACGGACCATACGTGCATCCAAGTGGACCAGGGACGTCACCCAATGGTCGAGCAGCTACTGTTGGACAGTTATGTGCCAAACGACATCGACTTGGACAGCGACAAGACACGCGCTCTCCTGGTCACCGGACCCAACATGGGCGGAAAGTCCAGTTATGTACGACAAGTAGCGCTCATCGCCATCATGGGGCAAATAGGCTCTTATGTTCCCGCGCAGTCGGCCAAACTCGGTATGTTGGACGCTGTATTCACACGCATGGGTGCTTTCGACAACATGCTAGCTGGCGAGTCTACTTTCATGGTCGAGCTTTCCGAGACCGCAGACATCCTCAAGCAGGCGACTCCACGGTCACTTGTCATTCTGGATGAACTGGGCCGAGGCACATCCACGCATGATGGTGTTGCAATTGCACAAGCTGTCCTTGACTACATGGTACGGTCGATTCGAAGCCTTACGCTCTTCATCACCCATTATCAACACCTTTCTTCAATGGTCCATACCTTTGCAGACGACGAACTACGCAACGTGCACATGCGGTTTACCGAATCAGGTACCGGAACAGACGAAGAGATCACCTTCCTCTACGAAGTAGGTGAGGGCGTGGCACACCGCAGCTACGGGCTGAACGTCGCCCGATTAGCAAACCTGCCAGGGCCATTGCTGGATCAAGCCCGGCAGAAGAGCAAAGAATTGGAGGAGAAAATCCGCCGGCGGAAACTGGCTGGTCTTGTGACAGCCGTCGGAGAGGTCATGGAAGGCTCCAAGGATGGAAATATGATTGAGCGCCTCATCAGCAGCGCAGAGCAGCTGTAATAAGCGTATTGATGTGTCTTATTGCTTTCTATCGAGATGAGCGTATTGGCGTTGCATGATCAAAAGTATTAGGCTTTAGACATAGATTTATGAATATCAAATGACTCGTGATAAGCGGGGTCTCCACAAAGCTGTTTCGTTCGTCTTCTACACGTAGGGCAGTGATATCTACGATGGGTAACAGGCAGAATGGACATGAATCGTAGGCCAGGACTCACTCACGAGACGCCGACATAAGGTATAGTGTCCCCGCAGACCATATTCCCCTAATACACACCACCTAAGATCCAAACCGAGCAAGTTCACACAAAGGTCCATCCGATTCGAAGTGCATCGTGCATACAACACGAGGGAGAAAAAAATTAAGAAGAAAAAGGGGGTAATCTAGACAGAGACTTGATGAATAGAAGATCACCTCGCGCCCGTGGGGATTTCAAATTTTTTTCCTTCGTTTTTTGTATTTCAGGTTGATAGCCTCGTTTTTTTCTCTCTTGTTTCTCTCTCACTTTCGCTCTATATGAAGCCCAGTAGTAGGAAATATGAGTCTGGACACACAGGAATGATAAGAAGAAGAAAACAACAAAAGAATTTTGTCAAACGAAGCCATAACAACCCGGATGCCGCATCAGCCCATAAGATAAGATAGTTCTTCTTTTTTTGCCTTCCCGACCAGACCTCCCAGAATAATCATTTCCAACGCAAGCAAGGGTACATAGCCTCGAGAGGGAAAAAGATGTTGACGAAAACTCGGAGTTGTTGGTAAAGGAAATTAACGGAGACGGCGGGCCTCGCGTTCGGACTCGAGCAGGCAGAGGATGTCGTCGACCTTGACTGTTTGCGACGAAGAAGGGTTTGGTTAGCTTGATGTGCCATACATGGGTTTGTTCTGGAGATGACGGAGCGACTGGTTGGTTGGCTGGATGGACTGAATGCGATATTTCTTTCCCCGTTGAGTTGAGATTATCCCGCGATACTGCTTATTCCTCTATTCCCCCTCTTCAGTTCCTGCGTGCGTCCTGTTGGGTTTTGGAGATTGGTACTGTTTGCTGATAGAATCGTGGGTGTTGTTGATTTCCGATGCGTGCGCACATTTTCATTCACTCTTTGCCATTCTTCTCGCGGGATTCTTCTCTTCGAGGGGAAATAATTCGATTCGGTCCAACCAGTGCCACCACCATAACCGTAGGAGATGTATATCATCAATTGTGATCAACGGAGAAATCGCATACCTGGGCCCTTGACGTTACGGATGATGCTGCGGGAAGTGTCGTCCATGAACTCGACGCGGACCTGGGTGACACCACCACGGGATCCTATAAAATAAAATGCTCGTTAGAATATTCTCTCAAGCCAAAGGTACCGATCCACACGCCATCGCGGAAACACCGCAATTTGTATATATCCCAGG